GACACGGAAAAAATGCGATTTTATTTAAAGGATTTGAAATTCCTATAAATAAAATCGCACTTTTTCCGTGTCCCTGCCCAATACTGTAAATTGATAGATTTAAAAACTTGAAAATCAAGTTTTTGTTTTGCACTAATCGTTTAAAAGAAGTTAATTAATATAAATATATATATATATATAATACAGTACAAGTTAGAAGATTTAAATAAAAAAATTTAAAGCAGGTTTCAAACCTAGTAAATAACTTTTAAATAAGTTGTACACGTGGTTAGTTGCACGCTCATTATGTACCAAATATAACCAATCCTTGACAAGAATCATTATTCTTTAAATCAACTAATAAAAGCTATTGATAAAGTAAGTCATCTTAACACCAAACAAATAAAAATATTACGTAACTAATGGAAATTTTTATATGGAACATTTGTAATATAATAGCAAGTTGAGTAATCAATTACAAATATGATGTAACAATTTACGACCACCTGTTAATAAAAAAGCACCACAAAGCTATATAAATTTGATGAGATGAAAGCCTGAGAAAATCGATCATCAGCAGAACTTTGAAAATAATAAGAATGTCAAGTCGGAATTGGACGGATCAAAAATGACATTTGAAAATATCACTACGCAAATATATTTAGTGGAGGAAGCAAGTATATACCAAGTCAATTTTAGATAACGGACTGCAAAATTTAACTATTGACAACAATCAAATATAATTTTTGTACTGTATATACTTTTAACAAATTATATATTGATTCCGTTCAAAATTTCAGGTGCGACATAAGACAGGAGACTTCACAAATTCCACATCCTTTTGTTTTAAATATTGAATCGAAAGTCTTAAGTCAGCAACATATGCACTATGTAAATTATTGAGCAAGATGATGTCACTATATAGAACAAGATTTTGAGAATGAATCGCTTTAAGATCAAAATTTATACTAAGTAATAAATTTTATTTTATTTTGATATTTTACCGAGATTTTTACGTAAGAAAACAATAAGGGCATATTCTAAAACAAGAACATATATTCTATAATATTTTAGAAATGACGGATTCTCGTATCCAACTTTACAATATGTTTTTAACTTTAAAAATATATTATTAATGAAATGTAATAAATAACAAAATAATAATAAAAAACAATAAAATAATATTCTTGATTGTGAATCTTTTTAAGTGCGAATCCTTTAGTTATACAATATAATTTAGTTTTTTTTCAAATTTGCTTTATATACAGTAGCAAATCCACCTTTTCTAATTTCTTCAATAGTTTCATCATAAGGAATCCAATATAATTATCATCTAATAATTCTTTAACAGTAATGTCAAGATTTTCACAATTATATCATCTCGTAGAGATTATTTCTTTCTAATCGAAATCAATAGTCAACTTTTTTGAATGCAGCATTTCCATACTTTTGATAATATTCGAGGTCTTGTGTTCATCTTTTTCAACTCCAATTCCATTTTGATAGCAGTTGCCAAGTAAAAAAACATTCCCATCTCTGAGCTTTTTGAAAATAAATTATTGCCTTATGTTCATTCTCTTAAACACGATTCCATTATTATAACAATATCCAACATTTAATGTTCCTTGAACATGCCTCATTTCTGCAGTTTTTGAAAATATTCGAACGCTTCTCTTTAACTCCAACTCCATTTTCACAACAGCATCCAAATAAATAAAAATCTGGACTCAATGTTGAAAATTTTGTACGCGTGGCCAGATGATGCTAATGATTAAAAAGGAATTAAACATTATAGACGTATGGTTATTAAGCATTAATTTTTTTAATTCTCTTTACTGCAAGAGCCACACATCTCTGCAGCTTTTTGATGATAAATGAATGCCTTGTGTTCATCCTTTTCAATTCCAATTCCTTTTTCGTCTTTTCCAACCTTTATCCCATGTTGATAGCGGTATCCAAGGTCATAAGGATCTAAATTAGTTGATTTTTTACGTTGAAACAGATTAAAAATCCTTTTCATTTGCATGTATTTCAGTAATAGTAATACTGTGAGATAGGTTACATAGTATTACGTAGCTGATTAGTAAATTGGTTCATATAGATTTAGAGGTTGTTAAATTCCACAATCTGTCGAATTGATAAATATGTATATTTAAAGGGAAAAAATTTCATCATTATTTGTATAGTATTAATTTAAGTCTGAATAGCTTAGAGATCACCGAACCAGAAATAGCTTCGACGTTTCGCTAAGGGGTTTCATCTTTTGTCTTTTTGGGCTTAGGTCTGAAATAAGGTTCGCCTAACAACTATAGGTCTGACTGTAATAAATAATCAAAACATAACAATATAAACTATAACGCTTGAATATAACATATTTAGAACTAAATAATTATGGATTTCAATGTAAGCTTTTAATGAATCGGTAAACAAACGCACTGAAGCCTGGCACTGAATAAGAGATCAGTTAAGAAAAACTACTAAAAATTACCGTGGACACAATTTCTATTTTCATCGCTAGCTAAAAATTTATTTTAGGCGCAAATTATATTGAATAATTCATATTGTAAGAGTGAATTTTAATCTGAATACTTATACTGTAGAACATTATGTAAGTAAATTAATAACAACAAATATCATTGCAAAATCTGGCAATAGATATGGAAAATACAGCAAGTTCTACGGTGGAAAAATAGGTAATAACAAAAATAACTGGTCTAACATAAAATATAATTTAAGAATTATTATTTTCACTTTCACTGTTGACCCTGTTGACCCATTTTTTAATTTTATCCAATGTAAGTTTTTGCGGATTTGTTGTGCCTTTATAAAAACTATCTACAGTTTTATAGTATAGTCCAGTCTCCGACGCTAATTTTTTGCACATTTGATTATGTGAACATTTATTTTTTGTCATTCTTTGGTCAAAGAGGGATTTAAATTCGGTGCGAAGCTTTCCATCAGGTTTAAATTCGGCGTGGAGCGTCTGATGACTTGCACTTAATAGGCGGTTTGAATCTGTTAATAATATAGCAATAAATCAAATTAGCTTACTATAATAAGTACATGAGTGAGCAAGAAATTTCACGCGTCAAAATATTCATATTGGATTAACATATATGAAACCTTTGCAATAGAAAAGTCGAAATTTGACACATATAAAGAAAGACCTAATATGCGTAAAGGACAATAAACAGTCATGATCATGATAGATAAACACCTTGCACACCTTGGGACTTGCGTTTAATTTCCTTTTCATTGATAAAAGTCAATGCCAATATGGTTTTCTCTAAGTTGCGTATTTTATAATCGTTAAAAGCTATAGCTTTTTCGAAACTGTGCATTTTAGTATCGTTAAAAGCTTTTTCTAAGTCATAATCTTTTTTCACAGATGTTGATTTGCGTAATGTAATAACTAGGTATCCGCATAAAAAACTCAGGATGACGATAATAAAAAGCAACAGAAAGATAACAAGTGAACTTGAGATCATTTTGATTATTTGGTCGATTTTTTGAGAATAAAATTCTGAATGATACATTATAAATACGATTGATACGTACTATAAAAGCCTAGCTGATAGTAAATGGAATTACGTAATTTAAAGTCACGTATCGGCGATCCTTCCAATTTCCCTTGTAAAAATGGGTTTAATTGATTGATTGATTAATACGTAGCACAGTGGGAAATTTAGTAAACTAGTACGTACGTAAAAAGTAACAATAACGATTAATGTTCCAGTTTGATTCCTTTCTTTACATACAGTAGGAGTGGTAAAAAATATACGAGCCTGAGTTGTGAAATAGTGAAATCCGCTTTGATCATCACATGAGGGTGAAATCCACTTTTATATGAGTGCCGTCAAAGGAAAACCTACAATCTGGCTTTCAAGTATATTTTGGTTATCTGTGTGCCGTCTATGGTAAATCTATGATAACCAACTGTACACAAAATATACTTGAAAGCCAGATTGTAGGTTTTCCTTTGACGACACTGATATAATAAAAACCATAATAAAACGCGGATTTCACCCTAACCCGATCTACAAGGAGGATTTTCTGTAGTCGATTTCGCATTAGTCGATTTTATCGACTATCCTTAGTCAGCGGATTTTCCAAAAAAAATCGACTTAGTCGATTTTATGTTAGATTATATTAAAGTAACTAATCAGATTCGATACATTACCTCTCTTAATACATGGTACTAAGAGTAGTATTAAGAGTAGGAGCTAAAAAATCCCGAAATCGAACATAAAATACGAGTAACTTCGCAACAAAAATTTGATGATAAATTCCGAAGTAAAAAATATTAATCGAATTTTAAACATCGGCTTAGTCAAGTCGATAAATAAGGGAGGGTCGACTACAAACATGCTAATCATAAACGTCACCTGAAAGAAAAGTATTTTTGAAACAGGGGTCGCGATTCGCAACTCAGGTTTCACCCTGTTTCAAAAATACTTTTCTTCAGGTGACGTTTATGATTAACGTGTAAGGATTTTTTATTTCTATTGTTACTGTACGTATTAAAAACGGTGACTTTTAAATTTTACAAGAATATACATTTAGGCATACAATATAATGTTTGGAATCGATTTGATAATATATTTTTAATTTATTAATACAAAGTTATTACATTAAGTTTTTAGCATTTAAAATGAAGAGAATTATTTTGACTTTTTTTTTAGTTACGTACTAAAAATAATTGACGATCCAAATCTAAGATATCTGATATATAGTATATATATATTCAGTATAAAACCTTTGTCTAGAATATTTATATAAGTGTAAAGTGTACACAACCTTTAAAATTAATGTATATACTATACATTTTTTATATTTTAATAAAGTGTGCATCAAACTTAAAAACTTTTTTTATACGTATATATAAATATATTAGGCCACGCAAATTTGCTCATATGAAACTTTTAAACAGACCCGGCCGGTCGGCTTTTTTTTGTTACTGTAATTTTATATATAACAATTTTATAAAATTTTTTTTACGGCTGTTTTATAAATTCTTGAACAACTAAAATAATAATTTCAGTTGTTCCAGAATTTATGAAAAATTTTTTTAGAAAAATTTTCAAAATTTGACCCGGCCGGGTTACGAGAACCAATTAGTTAACTTTCTATACAGTATTTTATAATATATTGGGTTAATTTTATATTTTTATAATTTAAGAAATTTATTAATTAATACTGTAATAAAATAATATCATCAATTTAAAATTTAAAAATTTAATAATAAAATATTATATTTTTTAATATATATATCTTTTAAAAAAATACTTATAATAAATATACAAATCTTTAACAAACGTTTATATATACATTCAGGGTACTATGTTTCAGTGACACCGGACTTAACTACTGTAGATGTAAGTCACTAGACTGTTAATTCAGTTTTATATTAACAACTTTAATTTGGATTTTACAAGGGTTTTGTTATTTTTTTCGTAATAAATACATATAAATGTC